TTTCTTTCTTGTAAAGTATGCAAATATCAAGGAATGAATGTGTCTGTAATCTACAATTCACAACAATAGTGGAGCTTGCCTTTAACTGAATAATTATTTGTCATATTTAGGACAAGTGGTTGTGGCAGCTGTCTTCTCTGAACAGCAGTCTGGTGAACACCGTACTGTTTCGGCCTCAGTACACTGAAGGTAAGGCATTTAATTTTTAATCTCTTATAGAGCAGTTTTTGACTCAATCATGTGCTACACTTTATTTACAATATTAAATAATTTTTCAAATAATTTCTTGCGGATGAAGTATACATGTAACCACTGTATTTCTTTTATTTTTTTTCACAGATCTAAGAAAACACTTCACACCCTACAACCCCTAAAAATGTATGTTGCTACCTTAAATGTTTTCAGTATTTTTTATTATATTTAATAATAATGTTTAAAATAAACCATGTCATTGACTTCATTGACACTTTGACAAACATATTTGTACTGTAATTTTTGAATGTCTTAAACTTTTTTTCTTTTTTTACTTCTAGAACCCAGATTTGACAGCAGTGCACACCCATCTGAGGCTGACCTGTTTTACTTCATGATCACCCCACATACTTCTACAACTAACCCGCTTTGTAAGTTCTCATAGCTACACCTTAAAGAAGCACATCATTTTGGGGAAATTTCCTGTGTATTTGCTGGTAAATTACTTTTATAAAGATTAATGTTGATTATATACCTAGTTCAACAAAAAATGAAAATGATGCCGCTTAATCTCCCTTCTGTCATTCCATCCCATAAAAAAGTGTGCATCTTCAATGAAGATATTAACCCCAAAACTCTGACACCCAAGAAACCATCAAATAAATCCGTATGAATGGAGCCGTGTAATCTACTTTTGGGCCAAACTGTTCAATGAATGCTAAGGAGCAGTTTCAGTTATATTTCCACTTGAACTTGGTTAAGCATTGTCTGATCACAAACCATTCTTGAAGCGCAGTTTGTCAGAATTTTGATGGTAAAGACTAAAAATACGACGGTAAATTCCCTTACTATATGGTGAAAAGCTGTAATAGTTCTAATGGGACATTTCATTTAATTATACAGTAAAATATACTGTTTTTGGAAGTCACCTTATATTTTACAGTGATAAACAATAAACTGACATTCCCAGAAATCTCTGTGTGACACAGACAATTCTTCTGTGCTCACGTCTGATATTTCTTTTATTAAAACAACAGTTTCCTTCTTAGTTTTTTCTTATCAGTTATGTAAATTAGGGTTTTATCCTATATCTTACATTGTTAAATTAATGTTTATTGCATTATTTTAATGTTTAAGTGTTTTGTATTTATGTGTATAGCACTGTAAACCTATTAGTTATTTATATATATATATTTATATATTAGTATTTATAGAGTTTTAGCTTTTAGTTTTAATTACTTTTTCTTATTTGTAAGTCGCTTTGGATAAAAGCGTCTGGTAAATGACTAAAAGTAAAGTAAAAGTAAAGTTATATTTTCACTTGAACTTGGTTAGGCATAGTCTGATCACAAACCACTCTTGATCTGGAATTATTAGCCGGACACGCTGAACCGTGCTGTAGAATGCCTGGAGTGATGTCGCTGCTCAGGATTGTCAACAGTTTCTCTGTAGCTGGCCAAGCCTGCTATTTGAGCGAAGTAAACAAGTTAATAGTAAAATTAAAATAAATATTTAATTTTTCATAACGTGTGCTATTTACATCTAGGACCGTATTCTAACTCTTGCATTACTAAGGTAACGACTGACACATTTATGTTGCATTCCAAAGAGCTCGGTTAACAGCCCAACAGTGAAAAATTAAACCATATCTGTATCAGCTTGGGCCGGATCAGCACAAAATGGAATGGTTAAGCAACAAAAATAGTTTGGCCTGACAGTGGAAAAGCGGCTCTGATTGCTATATGATCAAATGTCTAATGTTTTGGGTAAATAGACAGAAATTTATATCGGATTTCACTGAAAATGTCTTTATTTGTGTTCCAAAAAGTAATCTTTGAGTAAATTATCACATAAATTTCAAGTTTGGGTGAGCTAACCCAATGGCATGGTAGTGTAGGCAGGAGAGATAACACTGACAACTTATCATCCATATTTTCCTACTAATATTGTTTTTATTTGGTTTTATACAGGTGTCTGATGTTGATGCAGTCTGGGCACTAGTATAGTTACCAGAACTTGCGTGTAAGTTTACAACACTAAATAAACCTTTTGTTAGTACAAATTATTATTCTTATTTCACTTTACTTGGTTTTTTCAAGGC